GTTTTAAAAATTTCTTTTCGATATTAGCTAGGTATAGAAGTGTAGGCAGGCTAGTATTTAACTTGTTGTATGCTTTTGCATCCAAGAGATGTTGTTTCTTTCACTATGTATATCTATTAATATACAAATAAATAAAAAAATGATGTTTACCTACCAGAAAAAAAAAATAAATAAATATGTCTTATGAAAAATTTTAGAATAATATTAATAAGTTGTTGTTTATTAAATTATTTTTATATTTTGTTGATATTGTTTGGATTTTTTGTGTAATTTGTTTTTTTTTTATATTTGATATTTTAAGATATATTGAGCAATCTTTTCTTTTTTATTATGATTTTGATTTTTGAAATTCAAATATTGGATCAAAGAAGTTTAAGTATTTTATTTTAAATTTAATTAATGAATTTTAGATTTTGTTAGGTTAGGTTAAATTGTTAAAAATGTTTTTGAATTGAAATATATTTGTTAAAAAGTCAATTAAATAGATACTAATATTTATTATTATTTTCATGTAATTGAAATTAAATTTTTTTTGTTTTTAAATTTTTTTGTCATTAAAATTTAAGTGTCAGATATAATTTTTTAATTATAATTGTGCTTTTTTTTGCAGAATCAAAAATGCTATGTTGTTTTTGATAATGAGTTACAATGTGAACATGTGTTATTAGTAATACAGTATATATTATTTGATGGTTACGCATGTAAAATAAAAGTTTTGAAAGTTTTGTAAGATAATATAGATGTTATTATTAAATATACAAAAGTATTAATATAAAATTTTATGAATTTTTTTTTTTTAATATACAATATTGTTTTTTATTAATTATTTTGTAATAATTATAAGATAATAATAATAATATGATGATAACTTTGTTTGATTTTAAAAATATTCAATAAAATAACATCAGAAAATTAAAAGGAAATGGTGTCAAATCTATTTTTTCGAAAATAATAAAATGACAAAAATTTTATGCTCTAACATATAATAAAAATCTTAGTATTATTGAAGAACAAAATCTTTATATACTAGGAAATGGGAATCATTGGCATTATTTTAAACTGTAAAATTTGATTTTTTTTAAATTATTAAATGTATTTTATATATTTTATATACAATATTTACCGTTTTGATTAAAATTTTTTTAAAATTAATTTTTATACAAAAATTTATTAATATGCATAATTAATATACGGTAATTTCAAGTTAATTATATAATTAAAGAAACATACAGTAATTAAAAATATAATACTATTCATTTATTTTTAATACGAATTTATTTAAATAATTAAAAAATTTTTTTCTTACATAGAAATCATCGGACATTAAAAAATGAGATCACCACTTTCCTGCTCGTTATCTCCCTTTAAGTCTTACGCTTTGCTTCGGACAATTAATAATTTTCAATTTTCAATGATTGCTAAAATAGATTGAAAAACTATATACTGTACAGTAAAATGAATCGATAATTTAATAAATTATATAGTTCTAAGGCATTTATATAACAAACAAAACTAGACAAATTTAGATTGCCGATTTTAATTATTGATCGAAGATTTGTTTATTAGTTTATTGAGAAACGGGTTCAGTATACTGTATACTGTACGGTCCGTAAATCAAAAATATATTCATTACAGTACATACATAATATATAATAACCAATAATAATGTAAAAAACCTCAACTTGTTCCACTGTATTTAGGAGGAAAATAGTCATTTAACCTGATAAATTATAATATGAAAAGAGTTTAACCATATGATGATTACGTAAATGTAATTTCTCATGTGGATAATCATGAAATTGTAAATGAGAACGCGGACATTGAATCGTACAGTCATCGACAAAAATTGGGACGTTACTTTTTACAGATGTCATTCTCTAGAAATTCGGTGTAGTTCAAAATCGACAATTTGAAAATTTTGAAATAGTTTTTGTGCGTTTCTTCGTGAAACCATTTTAAGTATAAAAACGACCTCGAAATCTTTAAAAATTTAGCTCAAATACAAAAGAGAGTTTAAATTCTGTTCACAAAGCCGTCCTCAAAAAATCCACTCGATATAACAATGAACTCAAAAATATTACTCGTGTTAATAATTGCCATTTTCTTTGGCGGTTTGGCGACGTTTGTCAGCGCTAACAATTGCCCTGACCCACCACCTTTTTGTGACGGTAATTTTTTATTTTTCAAGGATTAAGTTCACGCGCACATAACACTTATTTGAAACTAAACATTTATTACAGGTACTGAAGTATGCATATTTAATCAAAATACCCAAACTTGCACATGTGCCTGTTGCGACAATAACGGAGAAAATTGCAAACAAAATTATCCCTGAAAGCTCGTGATGGTATTAATTTTTTATAATGGTTATTGCTGATGGATCCATAGCATAATACAATTTTTAAACTGGTTTGTATTGTTACAGTAGAAGCAAATTCTAGAGGTTTATGATATCAAGATAGCGTTTATCCTTATCATACTAGTCGATTTTCTGAATACAGTAGAATAAAAAAACCGAAGTTTTTTAATCCATTATTCAATGAACATAATTATTATTTTCATGTTTAATTGTAATTTTAAAGACGATTCAAAACTTATTTTGGAAATAAATACTTGAGTAAAAAAAAAGTTTACTTAGATTGAATTAGAGCGGTATAATGCGTTGATAAGAAAGAATAATGATTACTGTAATTGACCAGCGAGTTTGTCATCAACCCAATTACAGTATCCCGCATTATTATGGTTTTCAGCTCCTTTGACGGTTTCAATTTAACTGGTGTCGGAAACCTTCTAACTTTTACTCTATCGCTAGCTCCTTAGAATTCTCTACAGTATTCTCCCACCAGTAAATAGTCAAGTACTGGTTTCCCTATTACGATTGACACCTTTTCCGTTTTGTACTACTGTCGCGGGTCAGGGGTCTATCAGCAGTAACGGCGAAATCCTAGACTTCGCGACACTTCGACAGGGGTATCT